CTAGTGCCTGTCAAGCTTGAACCTCTGTCACTTCCTGCGTATGCTCTTAGGTGTTTGCTGTCGTTCAATCTGTGTGCGTGTGAGAGCAGCATGAGCTTCACTCTTTGTACTATCAAATGGCACCTCTCACCTCGCGCGCGGTTTCTTGGATGATTGACCTAGGTGGAGTTGACTACCATAGCTTGCGACTCAGATTCTGAATTGGTTGCTGTTGTGCGAACCTTTCACGTGTTGAATGGAAAGAGTCGCCTCCTCTCACATGGGTCCGATTTTCAGACTGCTTTGGCTCGTTGGATACAAGATGTATCCTCTCTGTCTTTGCCGTGCCACCTTGATGAAGATGCTCGTGTGAGTGAGGACGTGCCCCGCAGAGTCTTGTCATGATAGTAACAGACGATGGTGTTGGATCTATGATTATTTGTTGCAGTGGTGGAGATGGGCGTGGCATACACCTTTAGAGGTTGGCAGAATTAGAACATGCCAATTGTTTAGATGGTGGGATTTGCTTGCTACCGTTGGTGGTCTTGTAAAAATGTACAGTGCCTAACATGCTTTCTGGCTCCTTGTAGTCGGTCTTGTGTGCCTGCCGAACGTGTAACTTGCTTCCGTGTGAAAGGCTGTTGTTGCACATGATTGCCTGCCCGTAAGCAGCTTTGAACGTGTTGGATTTTTAAACTCTTGGGTCTTGGAACGTCTCCTCACACTTAGACTCATTCGAGTTCAACTGTTCAGCTCTTAAAACTTGCAGACGCTTTTGTGTGCGTTCTGAATATATGCCCTCCCTGCTGGATGAGTAACCTGCACCTGCACCTCGTGCTGGCTCAGCTTCTCTCCCTGCCTTGAGAGTTTGCCTGGTCCCTTGCGTTCCTTCGCCCCCTGGATCTTGGTGGACTTGCCATGAGCCTTAACGCGTGTGTCATTGAGCCTTTTGAATTTTTCCGTGAGCGTGAGGTTGTCCCTTCTTGACTCCTGTCGCTTAATGCCACGCTGTATGTGCCAAGTCCTTGCTTCTCCAGCCTTCATTGTTCAGTGTTGGACTGAATGTACTTCTTCCGTGCTGCAGCAATGAACATTCGCAGGTGGAGCTGAAAATTGAGTCACTTCAACTCTGCGCGTGAAGGGGTGCCTCTTTTGACTCGTTGTTGGGGCGTGTGTGCACGTGCGTGGTTGTCTGCTGCAAACTGGCGTGTGACGATGCTTGGAGTTTAGCCTCCTTTAGGTGGCAATGATTCGATGATGATCCATTGACGGAGCCAGTTTGTTGTTTTGATGCTAATTGAAAGAGTCGGGATGATGATGACGCACGGAGTGTCAGCGTGGCGACACCTCTCCTCTTTATCAGATCTAAGCTCTTTGGCATCAGAGTCATCCTTGCGCATGCACGTGGGCCCGATAACAGTTGTATGTATCTGCGTGGCTGTCAGGACAACATGAGCTACGCTTGCCTCTTTGCAGTGCTTCTCTAGTGAACTAGAAAGGAATTGCAAAATGCGCTTGTTTAAAGGTACATGCGCGACGTGTCACATAGCTGCATGATCTGAATATCAGATCTTGACTGATAAACACTTTGGAAGCAGTGCGAAAGTGCACTAGCGAAAAAAAGGTTTAGCCGAGTGCAAAATTCTGACTGTTGGCCAGGGAAGTTTCGGATCTGCTGTTTGTCCCACATAGATGCTTGCATACCTCGCGAAGCAATCCACTCCAGTGATTTCGCCAATTCCGCTATAGCTGGGTCACAAGAAAACCACCCTAAGGCTCGTCTTTGCCCTCTAGCAAAAGTTGCAGCTCCAGCTGCAAAGGAACCTGCCCGGCTCTCATTGTTTCGCACAACGTGCACATAGTACGACCCAGCTCAGCTCTGCTCCGCTCTCTGTCTCTGTCTCTCGCTCTCTCACTCTCACTCACTAACGCACTCACTCTCTGAGGTCTCTCTCTCTCTCTGTCTCTTTCTCTTTTCTTTTGGAGGCTGCGCTAAAGTGAGCCACACTTACGTGCTTTGAGGTTGATGTGCCTCCAGCGCCTGACCCTTCCATAGAGCACTTGGCATGCTGGCAGCCGTCGAAAACAGAACGTTCAGGTGCATGTCAACCTCATATGCTAATATCGTTTGAGGTGCAGCAGCCGCAAGGAAAGGCCACCTGAACACTTGTTTGCAAGCGCTCTTGAAATTTGTTGAGAAGATGATCGCATGGACACAAGATGCCATAAGATGCATAAGACATGGATTTTTCTTTCTGCTTGCTGCAGGGTGTCGCGTCTGTGACGACCCAACAGTCGTACATTGCAGGTTTTTGCATTTTTGGTTCCGTTGTGAGCGGATCTTTTGTGGTTTGGTTGGCAATTGTGTTTGGATTTTTTTGCGGGGCGATTTAAGAGGTTTTCTTGGGAATTCACTCTGCCTAAATATGAGGGAACTCCAGGCAGGTTTGATTTTCTAACACGCGGTGAACATGCCCTACACGAGAACTGGACTTTGAAACCGTGGAGCCAAGTTGCAAAGATGCTTCACACGAATCACACGAAAGTGCAGCTGTGTGCCAACTATGTATTCCATTCGCGAGCACGATGTCGCCCCCACAGGGCGATTTTGAGTGAAGAAGTTCGCTCCACACGCCGGGGTTTTGAGCTTCAGCCAAAGTGCAAGGCTTCACGCAAAGCTAGCTTGCATGCAGCCAGTGCATAAGATTTTCAGCGAACTTGTCAGGACATTCCACCTGAGCTCACGACGTCCAACCGCACGGTGAGGATGCTCCAAACGGGAATAACCTGAACAGCATAACCCGAACTTCACACGTGTATTGGTAACAGAACACACCAATGATAGTAAGGCAGAATCATGACAATTAGCACTGCTACTCTTGAGTGATTCAGACGTCCCTGTTTAAAGATGGAAACGTCATGTTAGCAGCAACCCCACGTTGCCACATTGTTTCACTCGAACGTAAAAATCGCATCGATCGAAACCGCAAAAACATCAAACATGATTGAACTGCACTCGTCACGTAAAAATATTATCACAATTTGTGGCTTCATCATGTGGTTCATCTTAGTATGCATACACAGAACATTACGGTCGCCTTTCTTTCGAAGCGCGGGGCCTCGAGTTGCGTCATGGATCCTCATCCGCCAAAGCAAGTTTCAAGCTAGGGCAATTTCCACTGCACGAGCATTTCCGCTGGGTATGGCACTGGCGTACCAAACAAACGACCCAACTCTCACCTCAAACATGGCCGCTGGTGTATGCCCGATTAAAAAAAGAAATATTGGCCTTGTGTCTCTCACGCCCTCATGATTTACGAGAGCAGCCATTTCTACTTTTGTTTCCGCAATAATGAAAGCTAAATTTCCAAGCGTCATGAAAACAGGCACCCACCTCCTCAAAGCAGGTATCTATTGTGAAAACATCTCGTTGGGTTAGACAGCTGCTTTGAAATATGGTTTGGGCCTACGCGTTGACTCGCCCCAAGTGTTTCTGCTTGAGAGAAGCATTCTACTTAAATACGGTCAAACCGCGCAAACAATCTAAAGGGAGCTTTCAGGCTTTGAACATGTAACTGCATGCTGCAGAGGTTGACTGGTCCAACCGAACGAAGGCCACACAACTGAAATATCACAAACTTCACGCTTGATAGATTTGTGAGCTTACACGTTGTGGATGGTTTGGGAAGGGGCTCAAATTACATTCTGAACTACTTGAGTTGTTTAGAATTTCGATAGGTTAAATCGTATGCAGAATATATTTCCAGGTGGACTTGGCTCCCATTTAGAGTTTAAGGCACAATTTTTTTAGCGATGATGGGCTGGCTCAAGCCAAGGATTGGACCAATTGAGCGGTTCAACAACTTCTGTCTGAGCAGGGGGGCCCCCAAGCAGGACGTCCATCCGAAAAGCTCCCAAAACAGGGAAGGCATCTCAGCCATCCAAATCATCCAAATCATTCAAATCCAAGGCATACCAGCTATGTTACTCATAAAGCCGTTTCGAGTTTTGAAATGTTGAAGCGCTGACGAGCCATGTCCACGCTTGGGATGCTGCCCAAATTGTGGCATCATGCATCTTTCCTAGAGATGACTTACTCTGCCCAGCAATACAAATCAGCAAAAATTCATCCAGCAAACAACATTCGACCACAGTCCCAACCACAAAGACTAAATTTCACAAAATTGGGGCAATTGGGCTCAAGGTTTTTCGCAAGGCAAAATCTTACTTCGCTTGCTGGGCAACACGCACGTGAGCGTAAGTCTAAATTCCTTCAAGGATTGCATGGCGTATTATATAGGGGAGTGCAACAGGATATAGTAGGTCTGGTTGAGGAGGATACTAGGAGTTTAGACTAGCTCACGAGCGGTCTGACGTTCGGCCACATGGTGGACCCCGTGATGACTTCATGACTGCGAGTTTTGCACAGGCTGGCATATGTTGCAAGTTGGGACAAGCCAAAATCGCTACCGTCACAACCTAAATGGAGATCAGGGAAGGAAGAAATAAGCTCAGCATCCTTCCGATGCAAGCAATCATGCTTGTCATGTCAAGCAGGCTATGAAAACACCATCGTGCAAGAGAAATTTCCTCGATGTCCTTATCGAGATTTCGGGAACAAACATTTGCATCATCCAGTGACCAGTGTGTTTGTCTTTCACAAACTTGCATCACGCGCACCTGACCAGCAATTTGCTGTATGGAGGGGTCTGCAAGTCTGGCAGTTGTTGCATAACCCTTCCCAAAGCAAATGAGTGGTCAGGCAGCACCGCTGATGCATCACATTATTTTAATCTTTATGTGGTTGCAATTTTCTGAGATTTTTAATGTTTTCGTTTCGCTCAACTCTGCATACTGCAGCAAAAACAAACAGACGGCTAAGCGCACTTGGCGATGTTCAGTGGAAGTTTCGATGTCTCGATTTGTTTTGGCATGTGTTCTATTTGCCATGGCTCCTGACGAAGATTGTTTCGGCACCTGTAAACGAGTTCTAGCAATTTCGGGTAGTCTTTTCTGGCGCCATGGCGTCGTCTTTGTTCAGATGGCCTTTCAGCATGTTCAACGAAGATGTGGAGCATGAAGACAGTGATGGTTTGCAGCACTTGCGGGACGCCTTGGAGAAAGCAGAGAGACAAGTATCATCATCAACCAGTGACTCCGAGGAGGAACGCGAACGCAAGGAGGAGATTCTTGACGGTTTTCGTGCCAAGTTGGAAGAGTTTGAGGTGGAAACGCAGAAGAAGGTCAAGATCACGATTTGCAGTGCCGTCAGTGGTGAGTCCATCGCGCAAGTGCGGCTGAGACCTACGGATTTCGTGGTGCACCTCTGCGAAGCAGTTGTGAAGGAAATGAGCCACAGAGCCGTTGTGTCTCATTCAATCATTTTCCAATCTGAGGCAGGTTGCGCGCTTTGTTGTTCATTTCTCCGGGCTTTAATCGCGACTGTTTTTGAAGTTTCCGCAGGTCTTGCCACAGCACAAGACGATCAGCGAGGTGCCTCGGTGATGTCAGGTTGCCTTGAAGTTGCATCGCAGGACATTTTTGAGAGATCCTTTTGTGACCTTTCAGGCCGGATTGCAGGATGGCGATATCGTATATGTGGCAAGAGCTCCAGTGAGGTGTCTGACTGCATCGCATGATGGTTCAGCAGCTTGACATACCATAGCGTACTGTATTCGAGTTACTTTCTGAACTCCTTAATGGAGGACGTACACACACACACATATATATATATCTATCTATATATATATAAGTTCTAGGGTTTAAGGTTTAAATTCCTCAAAGGTGGTTTTATAGGGGAGTGAGATACTAGGACTTTAGATTCGGGCTCATATTTACGGTGATGCTACCGGGACTTTCTTTTCATTTTATTTTGTGCTTTCAATTTCAGAGTATTATATGAGTATATGGTTAAATCACTGTTATATATATATATATATATTGAGTTAGCGTCATATTGTTACATTATTTCACAATCATAGAATAATATTCACCTGTACCATGATCTACTATAGTCATTGTTTTTACAACTATGCTGCAGTATCCTGACGTTGGGGGGTGGGCGCCGGGGGGGGGGGGTGGGGGGCGTCAGACTCTTGTTTCCAAACCTTAAACCCTAAACTCTGAAACTCTAAACCACCAAATCCTAAATCCCAAAACTGAACCCTAAACTCTAAGACCTGAACCAACCAAACCCTTCAACCCTAAACTGGAAAGAAAAACCCTAAACCCAAAACCCTAAACCCTGGAGCTAAGGCATGCCTCTGGAACTTCGAGCAAGAGACAAACAACACAACAGGTTGGGAATTCAGGGTTTTAGGGTTTTAGGGTGTAGGGTTTAGGGTTTTAGGGTTTAGGGTTTTAGGGTTTAGGGTTATTACTAGGGGTATGCATGGGTGTCAAAGGATAATATTGGGATGACGGAAAAGAAAATGGAAACTACTACAGTAAATTGGGGTAATATAGGGATAATGCAAAAATGGAAGCTACTATTTGGGGGTTAGGGTTTAGGGTTTCATTATAACTTGGGTTAACAGTAATTCAGGCCTAGACAATAATCCTTATAAGGATTCCATACAGGCCCGGTTTCCATTCCATTTTTCTCTTCCATTTGATTCTCCATTATTGGGTCAGATGCCTACATATCCCTATATACCCCTTGAAAGGTACCTAGGGTTTCCATTTCATGTTCTATGTTCTTTTCCATTTGGTTCCCTATTATTGGGGTATCCTTGAAACCAAAACCCTGAACCCTGCATAGTGGGTTCCATGTCTTGTGCATTCTCCTGTAAAGCTCCCTAAAGCCAAACCCCTAAACCCTAAACCCTAAAACCCTGTATTCCGCTGCCAAGTCCCAGGTCCTCCCAGTGCTGCCGAGCCTCTTCGCGTGAACGCACAGGGAGCCTTGAAGCATGCCAGTATCGAGGTGGCATTTTGGAATTAGGGTTTAGGGTTTCCCCTACTGTGGTACAAGGGGCCCTACCCTAAACTCTAAACCTTAAACCCAACAGAATACACACTTTTTTAAAAGCCTTTCAAGTACCACCCAGGTATGTCTCCTTCTGGACAATTGTTGATGCTGTCAACAGAGGATGGAGGCAGTGGACTCATATATTGTGCCGAGACTGGGTTGCTGTTAAGGAACTTAGGCCAAGTTACCATAATGTGTATACATAGTAGCTACTATGGTTTCCCCAATATGGTAACTTAAATTAAAGTCCTTAACAGCAACCCAGGAGACTCTGCAATTCCTTCATCGGCTGCAGGGGGGTGCCCAGAGTGCCTCATTTTCCGCGGATGGGCAAAAGATAGTAGGTGTTGATGCAGATGGCAATGCCAACATTTGGTCTGCCCAAACGGGTCAGATCATTCACCGCATGTTTCCGCCAAAGACATCCTGTCAGTTCGATTCTGACTCGGATGACGATGCTGAGATGACCTTTGCAAACCTTTCGGGTTGTGGCAAGCTCATTGCAACAGCTGCTGGTTCCTGCGCACAGCTTTGGGATGCCTCTGGCAACCTCCAGCACACACTCCAGGGCCACGCAGGAACTGTGAGGCATGCAGCATTCTCAGCTGACAGTCAGTACCTGCTGACCGCCTCAGCAGATTCGACGGCTAGGATTTGGGATTGCGACAGTGGCAGATGTATGCGGATCCTAAGTGGCCATCAGCGGGCTTTGACGCTTTGCGCTTTTTCGCCAACAGGACTGCAAGCCATCACCGCAGCTCATGATGGAACTCTGAAGCTGTGGGACCTAGCAGACGACATCACAGATGGCTCGCACTTAGAGTGCACCTTGACCCTTGAGGCTGATGGCGGTGTCGTCAGTTCAGCTTGCTTTTCGCCAGAGGGGTCGAGACTGCTGATGGCTTGTGGCTCTGACACGGTGCGCATGTTCAACACCGCAACTGGCCAGATGCAGCTGTCTTTCGACGGGTTTCATGATGATTGGGTTCGATCTTCAAGCTTCTCGCCTGATGGCCTAATTATTGCCACCACATCTTATGATGGAGCAGTCGGCATTTGGCATCTCGGCAGCAGTAGCTGGTCTCGAGCAACAAGCCAGCTCCGTCGATTCCGCAGATGTCAGTGTTGCTGTTGCGCATTGACGTTGTGATCAGGGTAGGTAGATTTTGGCCATGGCTGAGGAGTGCGACCACAGGAAAGTGTTTGCACTCGCTTCACGGACATACACAAGCAGTGGTGGTTGCGCAGTTGGCGGCCGCATAGGACGCTCCTTCAGTAGTTGCAGGAATTTAGCGTCACAGAAGAGCTTCTGATTTCTTCACAGAGGGCCTGCACTCGTTTGTCACAGGGTATGATAGGCTTTGCAGGAGCTTATGGTAAACGTTGGATTTCAAGGCATGTCATGAGATCTTGTAGAGCTGTCCAGCATCCGTTTCTTTTTGCAGGATTGCAACAACATTGCAGGTTCGGGAATGAGGAAAGAAGAAATTCCAGCTAAGGGCCAGGACATCTTAAAGCCTCCTGTTACGCAGGAACCCAAAGAAATTTGTTGACACATGATTGGGTTCAATAGTCGGTGCTATGGTTTTTCATGTTATGGTTTGACTGAAAACGATCTAAACTTCAGACATCCCCTACATTCGTTGGACTTCCTGTCAGACACTCGAAGCTGTGTGCCGAAAAGTCGGACATCTAGATTATACCCGTACATGGCTCAGCCCTGGGCTCAGCATCGGTCCCGAGCGTTTTGAAATACGTGTTGCATGGTCGTTTCTTAACATGGCCCTCATATTACTAAGGATCCACATAACCCATTATAGTAGTTTCCATTTTCTTTTCCATAATCACTATATATCCTCTATATATCCTCAATATTACCCCTATATAACCCCACTATAATATAGTAGTTTCCATTTGCCATTTTATTTTCCATTATCCCAACATAACTACATATTGCCAGGAATCCTAAAGGCATTCCAATGTGAGAAAGCTCCAAATCACAACCATTTTCACAATTCCCAAGAGGCACTTGCCACTTGCACATGTTCCTCAACTTCTAACAGCACACAGCTGAAACATAGCAGGGTGTTATGGAGCGCCCAGTAAGAGGAAGACGTTCAACATGTGGAGGTTGCCCAAAATTGGGGGCACCATTTTGGGGTTCCCCATAAAAAGGGTTATGCTGTTTTGGGATCTGTATTGGGGTCCCCCTATTTTGTGAAACTACCATGTTGAGCCACGAGGTGCAAACCCTGGACATCCTTATCAGTTCCAACCGCATTAGATTTCCTAAGCCCTAAGCCCTAAACCCGAAGCCCTAAGCCCTAAACCCTAAGCCCTAAACACTAAACCCTAAATCGTTCCTGTGGTCCCCAAAGTGGCGTAAGATCCTTGTTTGTTGTGTGTGTGTTTTTTTTTTTTACAAGGGGAATGCAACCTTACTCGTTCAACAACCCAAAAGCGCTGCCCGGCTAGTTGTAAAGTTGGCGGCATATTTGGTAGTCTCTCTAAATAGGGGGACCCCAACCCCGAAATGGTACCCCCAATCTTGGGAAACCCCCATTTGAGAGTTGGACTTGGTTGCTAGCTTCCCGCGTTCCTGCTTGGCAGGACTGTGGTCCTTCGGCTATAGTGATTGGCTGCTTTAGTGTGTAAAGATTTTCTCACGCAGCTGCGACAGATGCCAACACTTTTCCAACGATTCCTGGAGCTGGATTTCCCTGTTGTTGCTTGTCATGACTTTGAATTATTGGTTAGCGTGACGGGCAGATAGAAGGTCTGCCTTCACACAGGTGCTGTGAACTATATATTTGTCGCACCTCTCGGCGCCGGCAGTCTTGACTTCATTGGGGCAGTGCCTGAAACCTATAAATCCAAAGCAGATAGCCTCAACATGCCACGTCGATAGATGGGTGCATAGATGCAATTGTTGCTCCCATGCTGGAGACGATATAAATCGTCCTGGGACAAATTGCTGAGCATGGCTCACTTTTCATATTGATACTGATCTTCCGCCCATAGCCATGGCTCGGCAAGGCAAACGGGAGACAAGAACCAGGAAGACCTCATTCCTAGATGCCAGCATTGGTCATTTTTGCATCTCCTGGACTCCTGTGATGCCTCTAATCAGATTTTGGGCCAGCTCTGAAGCTTGCAGTTTCCGCGTTCCAGTGCAGGATGTTGTTAGAACATTCACCATTTTGCAGACATCATCAGAGTTGGCACGCTAGCTGTAAAGAGTAAAGTTGGCTCCTATATGTGGAAGCTTTCAATATGCTGATCTTTTTTGCAGGATGCGCATCATATCAGCAGACATGTAAATTTCAAACCTATGCTGTTCTTCAATAGAGAGCAATTGGAGGTCTGCTCCTGTAGCACAGGAAGCCTGAGCCAAGCGACGAAGGTCTGCTTGACTTCGGCCGTGTGCATGTTGTGGCAGCAGGAGGAGACTCATCAGTGGAAAGCTTGATTTTCCTTGGAACGATGTCTTTTTGCAAGTTGTTGTTGGTGGCGCTTTTCTTGTGCGCGGTAAATGTGGCCTTTGTTTATAGGTCTGTGAGATAAAGACAAGCTAGGAAAGCTGATGACAGTAGGCAGATAATTAAACTGCGTTGCTGCGCAGTTTTTCCACTGTTCTCGAAGCCTTTTCCTTCCAATTTTTTGCAGGGACCGCTGCTGCGTCGAAACAGGCAGGCTACTTGTGAAGTCAATGCTTAACGGCCCGCGCGGGCTCTTTGAGAGGTAGAGTCGAGGAAGAACTGCCGCGGTCTCACCTGTACAGCCGCTGCTTTGGGAGGATGCCGGTCTAGTGCAGTATAGGTTGCACACGGCATTGGCTATAAAGGCAGTGACACTTCTTGTGTTTGCTTCTGTACAATTCTGTTTCACCTGCACCAAATTTGTGTAAACTACTTCCGTCCCAGATTCTCAAGGTTTTCCAGGTGGCAAGCTGCAGCTTGACGCGAAGACGTGAGGGACAAGCGCAAGGCTTGGTGAGCGGAGTCGATTGTTCAGACTGTTTGAAAAGGCCCTGCTTGAAGTACCTTTTGCTGCCATTTGATGTCGAGAAGCACGGATGTGTATCATGCTAGGTTGCATGCTTTGCCAGCTGTGCACAAAGATATGTTGCTTCCTGTGTGCAGATTTGGCAGACAGGACATAGCTGATGCCACCTAAAGACTGCCACATTTTTTCCAGCAAGCAGAGACTAGACTCACGAGAAGCAGTCAAGCCCTTTAGCAGCTGCAGGAGCAAGTAGCAGCTCCAACCGCACAGAACTTGTATACACTCTTTCGAATCAGCCCGCGACGTCTGACCCAGCCAAGGCCTTCTTTTCTCACGGTTGGAATAGTGCATGTGCAATCTCGGAAATCTGCAGGAGCCTTCTGAGGTCTTGTAAGCTGCGCAAGGATGAGAGCATACGTCCCGTGTACATGGACTGACACTGGTGCAAGGTAGCATGGCTACTGTGGCGAGGCGCAGGCAGCGGGTGTTGGGTTCTGCACTTGAAGGATTTGACGTCATCCCATGTTTCTCATGGCAGAGGGATCAACCAATCAGCTCCGCGAAGGCTGATACGAGATCTCAAGAAGCTGCAGTCGGATCCACCGCAAGGCGATTTCTAAGGTTCATCACTTCTTTACGTGCGTTTGCACCCGGTGCACAGGAATCAGCGCATCACCAGCAAAGGATGACATCATGAGTTGGACGGCCGTGATGTTTGGTCCGGTGCTTCCAGCGGAGTTACTGCCGGTCTACCTTCGGGGAGTTGCTTAGTTTCATTTTCTTTTCCATGATCCCATATATAACCAGAATATGCTATACAGTAGTTTCTGTTTTCTTTTCGATAAACACCACATTATCCCTTTATAATTCCAATATATGAATATAAAAATAAATGTATATACACTACAATTCCTATATAAGCCCTACATAGTCCCTATGGTTTCCCCAGTATCCAAAGTTTTTCAAAGCAATGGCAGCTTTTCACTGCATTTGCTTTGTTGCCAGGACGACACTCCGTGGGAGGGTGGAACGTTCCAGCTTGAGGCCGCCGGATTTTTGCAAGGTTAGTATTATTATTACTATCATTCTTGTTAACATGAGTATTATTATGGTTACTATTGTTCTTATTCTTCTCATTATGGTTATTATTACCTAATATTTTATTGCGCTTACTATTACTTTATTATTGTTATTATTACTACTTTTAGTTGTGTGATTATGATTGCTATTATTATTATGCTTGACATCCATTGAAAGGATTGGGACCGGAATGCCTCCAAATTATGATGGGAATTCTAGCGCAGGCTTTGAGTATCACACTACACCTTGAACCTTCAAGCCAGTTTGAACAGTAACGATGCGTGCTATGCGTATTTATTTTGACAGGTGACTTTCTCAGAGGAGTTTCCCACAAAGCCTCCGCATGTGAAGTTCCTCACCAAGGCCGGGTAGACCTGTGGCTTACTTGCGCTAAATTCTCCCTCAGGCTTGCGACATGTCACAGGGCCAAATCCTGGCAAAGGAATTGTCAGACTGCTCGATGCGCCTTGACTTGCAGGTCTGTATACGCTATAAAGATCGTTGACGTGTCTTGTTTCCAGGTAGATCCTCCTATCAGCATCAACCGTACCAGTCAAGCATGCCGTTGCCGGTTTCGCTCGCGCAGATGTTTCATCCAAACATCTACAACAACGGCGAGATCTGTTTGGATATCCTGCAGGACTTGACCCTATGCCCAAGCAGCATCTTGGGGTTGCCCAAAATTAGGGGTACCATTTTGGGGGTCCCCAAAATAAGGACCATAGTATTGGGGGGTCTGTATTGGGTTCCCCTATGTTGGGAGATTACCACTTTGTACAGTCCGAAGGTTCCCCGTTGGTGGTGACGGTGAGTAGGGGATGGAGGCATGGATCCAATGGTACCAGTCGTTCTCAAAAAATTGAAGGTTTAGGGTTTAGGGTTTAGGGACTGAAGGTTTAGGCTTTAGGGACAGTCGGCATATCTTATGCCTTCATTCCCCCTACTAGCCACCAGTAGTGTTCGGGGTCTTTACCAAGAAGTCCTTTGTTGGGTAAACGCCGAGATCTTGGCGTGCATAGCAGGGGCAGGTTCTGGTCTCCCAAAATTAAGGGAACCCAATATGGACCCCTAAATACTACAGTCTTTATTCTGGGGACCTTCAAAGTGGTACCCCTAATTTTTCAAACTGGGAGTCCGCAAAAGCTCTGGTTTAGCAAAGCCTTAAGAGTTGTTGTTCCATCAGTGCATCTTGTGTTTTGCTTTCTTCCAGCAGTGAAGTTAGTCCATGCAGGGTACAAAGCGACATTGTGATAGCCCATTCTTCTTTGCACATGCCCCCCCCCACAAGAGCATCTTAAGGCTGAATGTGCTAAGCTTAACGGCCCTAAAAGTCATGCGCTTTTAGGCAGCAAATTGCGCTTTTGTGTGCCATGTCCGACTTCTCGGTTGATTTCACGAAGAGCTATGCTCGGCGGCGGCCGGAAGAGCCATAGCCTCGGACCCACCCAGTCCCCCCCTTCATCAGAAGTGTTTGCTTCTGTGAGTAGTTGTAGCACAGAGGGTTCCCCGAAAGGGGCCATAATTCTGTGACAGCTGCCCAGAAGAGCCCTGGCTTAATAGGTCACCCCAAAACCCTATCTATTCCCCTATAGGTCCCCCCCAACCTAAATTTAGTCTGTAGCTCACATGTCATGTGTCAGTTGTCAAAATTATGGTCCCTTTATGTTTGGAATTCCATTATAATACGGCACTTAAATTTTTGGGTACCAAAAAGGGACCATAATTTTGACAACCACCCATATGTCATGTGTCAGTGACCCAGATAGAGACTGAGGCCTCGGTCCCATTACTCTCAGCGGCTGAAGTTTATCAACACATTGATCAAGGGCCATGGGCTTAGTGCTGGGTATCGGTTATGTTGGGGTCGTATATGAGGATAATGGAAAAGAACATGGAAATTACTATATAATAAGGGGTTATATTGGTGAGTTCCCAAAATTAGCATCCCATCGTCGTACCATGAAAGGAGAATCAAATGGAAAACAAAGTGGAAAATTAAATAGCAACTGGGATATATAGGGGATTATAGGGGTTAGGATTTTCCAAAAATCAGGGGTACCTTTTGAAGGTTTTTCATATTTGGGGTCTATATCGGGGTCCCCTTATTTTGAGAAACTTCCAAACTGGTGAGGGGAACAGGTCAAGTATTGAAAATACATTCCTCCGTCAGGCGAAGGAGACAGAATAACAGATGATCGCATCGAGGTCCTGTCGCATTGTCCGCGGGCTTAGTTTGGTGCAAATGGCTGATGGTAGCGTAGTTGTGGCAGTGAGTTTTAATTCTGAATCCGTATAATGCAGGTTACAGCAACGTGAAATATTTGGCCAACGTGATGGACTAAGAGCCTTGACATCTTCAGTATTTTGTGCAGCTATGATGGTTAAACTGCAGAGGTCTACAATGAGGAGATCATGGGCATGCTGCGGAAGTACGTCGCTATGATGCAAAAGTGCTTGAGGTTGACTAAGGGCAACCCAATCGAAGGTGGACACTCCCTAAGAATAATCAATTTCACTACCCCCTTTTTGATACCGTTAAATTCGTTATGCAGTAGGTGCTTGGAGGGTCAGGGGAACGTAGTAGATAGGTTAATAACCCCTATAATCCATAATTATCCACATTCTTAACCTACTTACGAAATCCCCCTGACACTCCGTACTCCGCCTGGAATACAACCCTGAACCCTAAACCCTAAACCCTGAACCCTAAACCCAAAGGTAGGGCACTCAGGACCCAGAAATCCAATGACATCAAGGCTGGCCTGAATGGCGAAGATGGAGATTTTGACGGCAGTCATTCGCGTAGCCTTTCTGGGGGATCTATAGGGTTTAGGGTTCAAGGTTTAGGGTTTAGGGCTTATAGATAGGATGAGATAAGAACAGCCCCCCCCCATATATAGGGGTTATAGAAGGAATCTTTGGGATCTATGCGTTGTCCAGTCTTGACTTTCAAGATGATTCAATGCGGCAAGGCTCAAGCTGGCCCTGAAGGGGCCTGCTGTGGTGCCGAACATTACAACATAATGGTAATAAAGCAATATTGATTATTCTACTCATACTAATAATACTGATTTACTCCTAATAATGTACTACTAATATTAGTAGGATGTCTGGAGAGATAGGCTTACTTCAGATGGAGCTTAGCACATGTGAAGCAGATTTGTTTCAAGCTGCAAGGAACCAGACTCCTCTCACCAGATGTTTGTGTAGTTGAGATAGTGGCAGGGCGTATGGGTCATCCATGACTTCAACTCGAGCTGCAGTAAAGCCCTGTCAAGCCCTGTCTGCTCGAGACGTAGCGCGCCGCGCGCAACGTGTGGAGCGCGTTACGGAACTGCCAGAGGTTGTGGCTGCTGTCCTTCCACAGCACCTGGAATTTCTCCATGCACAACAGAAGCAGGCGGAGGAAGTGAGCGCTCACGACTTTTTCCAAAGGCGTGATCTTCATCAAAAGATGAGATCTCTGGCGCTGTCCGACCACTTCGACAATTTTGGTAAGTCCCGCTTTCAAAAGCTGGGATTAGCCTTCGCAGCTAAGCAGTTCATTCCTAGACACGCCGCTGCTCCCAACAGTGGGAGTCTGACTGCCGTTGACGGACAGAAGGAGTCCAGCAAGCCTTCGGCCAAGGCCTTCATCTTGTCACAGGAAGCACTCGCCCAAGACTTTAAGCGCTGGAGCCAGTACACTCAGGAGATATCTGCATCTATCCAGGAGGCAGATCGTCACAAAGACGTGGATGTCAAAAGAAGGCAAATTGACATCTTGTTTGCAGAACTTCCTCGTTTCATGGAGTTCCTTCCCGAGGCAGTTCCCGTGGAGAGCTTGGAGCTTGAGATCAATCATGATCGCTCCTTGAAGCCAGGCTTTCCCCGCCGCTGGCCAGCGCAGTCTAGGAAGTTTCGGCGGACAGAATCGCAGGCCCTGATTGAGATATTCCGTGCATGGTCCTTTGCTTCGTGGCCCCTGGGCGGTGCCGAGCTTGGGCTGGATCGTGCCACTTTTGCCCGATTCGTCTTAGACGTTGGTTTGGCAGATGAGCGGAAGGTTCCCTTGTTCTGGGCTCTATCGCTTTTCGATTGCTTGTCGCATAACACTCGCGTGTGTGCGAAAAATGATCTGGCTCCTCAAGCAGCACCACTTCTGCCGGTTGTGAAGTGGTGGGATTTGCTCTCGATTATTGAGGTGCTGACAGCGCAGCACTTTCGCACCACCACAACAGCCCTTCGGGTCAAGTTCATCGAGAGCATTGCGGAAATATCCAGGTTTCGCCTTCCGCCTTACGCTCTCAAAGCCGTCAACATCACTCAAGCACAGCTTGAGTTCGTCCTTCAAGGAGTGAAGGCTGATTCCAATGAAAGCGATGACGAGCAGAGCAAGGCAAACCAGGACTTTGGTTGGTTTCAGGTTGTGCAAATGAAGAGATCAGCGCATGCTTTGAGACCTGAGAGAAAACCGGCTGCGGCCACTGTAGGATACGCAGACGAAAGCCGCGGAGCCCAGGACGCCACACGACAAAGTCTGCCGTGGGCTTTGAAAGATATTACTCTGCGCAGCCTACAAGGACCAGCCTCAATGAAGCCAAAGACCTGGCCTCGCCCACAGTGACTTATATTGGGGGTTATATGGGAATAATGGAAAAGAAAATGGAAACTACTATTTAGGGTTTAGGGTTTAGGATATGAGGAGGTGTTGATTGTTGCTGCTGTACTCAGGGCAATGCCAGCAAAGAACAGTTGTCAATCACAGAGGCTGGCTGAATCTTTCTTGTGCAACTTTCAGTAGAGTTTTGTATTGTTTGTACCAGGACGCTCGCTCTCAACGACAGAAAGGCATGCTGGTGGAGCCGGAGGCGCACCCTAAGAAGATGGTAAGGAGCCTTTGCAGCGTGTTGGCTGGAATCAGCACAGTCACGGCCACATATTTGAGCGCACGCGTATGTAGGTATATGTAAGAAAGACACTTCCCAAACTCCCAAGTTGACAACAGGCCAACAAAGGGTAACAGGAGCCTTGCCACGAGAGAATCTGCGTCAGGTGTTGCACATCCTGTGGCAGCATGAGGCCATCTTCAAGAGTCTCCACACCGCCTCTGCCTTTCACAGAACCTTCCTGGGGCTTCATAGGGAACAAGGGAATATCATCTTTATAAGGCCTTGCATGGTATTTCCCTTATTCCCTATAACCCCCAGTAAGGAACAACATGGTGCAGAATTTCCAGCCCAACATTGGAATTCTAAGGCCTACGCAGACCATGCAGGCATGTACATCCTGATCTTGTGAGAACTAGCACTTGGCTGCGGATCACCTCTCAAATTTCACGCTGCAGGTCACATGACTTTTGCAGCCCTCATCCAGCTCTGTAAAGACTTCTCTTTGGCACGAGCCTCAAAAGACTACCGCTGCAGTTCTACTACAGACCGTTTGAGCTTTCAGGCACCCCATCTTATCAGCCTGCACCAGCTGCGCAAGATCTACGAGCTGACTCCCGAGACCTCTTCAGCAAGTATCCGACTTGTTGGATGCCACCTGCATCTTCTGATGCGCGTTGCAGGGCCAAGTTTGAACATGATTTTCAATCTGATTACCCCCCAATCCTATATATTCCCTATAACGCCACTTGGAAAAGATAGGGCTTTCTACATAATCCCTTCCCCAAACCTACCCGGGATTACTGCACAGTTGAGGTCTGCCGAGTGCTTGGATCCGGCATCTGGTGCTCCAAGGCAGTTTAGGGTTTAGGGTTTCAGTGTGCTGAAGCATTTGCCGCCCTGTGGTGCTTTCCAATAATTTTTGGCGGAACCCAAAGGGGATCTATAGGGTTGTATAGGGATTATAGGGTTTAGGGATAGTACATGTTACCACGATCATGAAGAATCCAATAAGAAAAGGCCATGGAAAATGACAATTTGTTGTCGCCTCGAGGCTGGAGACTCTGAGACCGCCTCTCAGTTTACCTTCCGGAGACATAGAGTTTGGAGTTCAGGCAGAGGGTTTAGGGTTTAGGGCTTCGGGATATATACTCCCAACAATGGAGAATCAAATGCTTCAGAACATGGAACATGAAATGGAAACCGGCCGTGGAGACTATTTTTGCAGTGAGCAGACGTCGTTTTGATGAGGTCAGGACTTCAGCATTAAGAAAACAAGAGGTGGTAGCCCCTCAAGGGCATCACAGGTCCGGAGCCTGGCGAATGTCGCTTGATTCTTAGTTTAAGTTACTATCCTATCCCCCTATACTGGAGAATCAAATGGAAAAGGAAATGGAAAATGAAATGGAGTTTTGGGTAACATAGGGTTTTAAGGAACTTAAACTTGAATGAAGTTACTAGATGGGGGAAAGCCTATTGCATCTGTACTGGCCCAATGCAAGCATGAGGCCTCTGTCCGACGTAGATCGATCTCCGCTTCAACTAGCCCAACGAACTCTGCGCCTGCCTTACATTCCTCTTCCCTGAAAACCGTGTACTTAAGCTTGCTCGCAGGACGGTTTGCGATCAGCACGTCGCGTGGTTCTTATCTTGACCTTGCGAAGCTCTACAGCCGATGGCATGTTGCTGTGTGACATTCGGTGTTCACGCCCTTGTGCCTCGAGGCCCTTCAGACGCGATGAAGAACAAGAGGCCCAGTTGAATGTACTTTGTGGAGCCAGATTCTTGCTTGAATGTTCAGGTCAACCATCCTGACGCTGGGCAAGATTAATGCGAGACCAGCAGCTGTGGCTGAATCGCCATCAACATCATCAACGCAAACCCGACGGCGCTGCTCAGTAGAGGCAGGTGTGGTCGATGCTCAGGGGGCTGAATAGGCATACGACATTTTCCCAGACTCTCTTGCAGACCAGCAGCATTTCCGGCCAGTCGGCAAGCGAACGCCTTGGGCACAAGCCTTGGCTAGTGGTAAGTTGTAGCAAAGGCTGTCACAGAGGGCAGGTCCAATATACTATAGTTACTATAGTAGTTTCCATTTTCCATTATCCCCTATATATACCCTATATCTGCCCTATTATATTCTAGTAGTGTCCATTTTCTTTTCCATTATCCCCATATATAACCCCTATATTACCCCTTATGCAACCCGATATAACCACTATAGAACCCCATATAACCCCATAAAACCCCTATACTTTCCATTTTCTTTTCCATTATCGAGGCTGTTGCTTCCTTGGGAAGCGCTTGCCCTCAAGGCACGGGAGGCGTGGAAGTGCAATCAATTCCGTGCCATGTTTCAGTTACTATATGAGCTATGAGCTTAAAGGGGGTTATATAGGGGACTATATAGGGTTTAGGGTCTAGGATTCAGGGTTTAGGGTTTGGGGTTTAGGATCCAAACTCCTTCAAGGATAGGGGATTATATAGGGGGTTCTTATGGGGTTATTAAGGGGGGATACTAGTAGTTTAGACAATGCTGCATATTATCCCCCTTATAATGGAGAATCAAATGGAAAAGAAACTGAAAAACAAAATGGAAACAGGGGGAATAGGGATTTAAGGAACTTAATTTCAAGGGAACATAGGGATTTAAGGAACTTGAATTTAAGTTACTATATTGGGGAAACTCTATTAATTACTACATCTGGGGAAGGGGAGTGTGCTGTGCAGCCCTGAAGGCCACGCGGCAAACTGCGGTGTGCTCCGTCGGTTTTCCTGCCACGCGCTGAAAGTTCAGGAGAGTAGTATTTCATTTGGGGATACTATGGTCCCCAATATAGAGTAAGATTCTATCCTCCTTCTGGGGTATAGGTATTTTATATAAGGAATAATCTTACTGGGTTTAACCACCAAAAATCGCTACTCATCAGGAGTGTTGCTGTCAGGTAGGCGTAATTGGTAAGAATGCCGCGGTATGTAGCAGCAAGCATTGCTGGACCCCCAATGTAGTTAATTTAAGTTCCTTAGATCCCTATATGACCCCAGATTCTATTTCAGTTTACATTTTCTTTCCCATTAGATTCTCCAGTACAGGGGGATAATATGAAACCCTAAACCCTAAACCCTGAACCCTAAACCCTAAACCACAACAACTCCTTGACACCAGTTCGCGACGCAGCTGGTAGGATTGCAGCTCCGAGTTGGTCAAGGATAGTATAGGGTTTTTTTAGGGTTATATGGGGTTATAAAGGGGTTATATGGGGTTATATAGGGGGTTATGTAGGGGTTATATAGGGGTTATATGCGTTATATATGGGGATAATGGAAAAGAAAATGGAAACTACAGGAATTTCATAGGGCAGATATCGGGGATGTATAGGGGATCATGGAAAATGGAAACTACTATAGTAACTATAGTATATTGGAGTTATAGCAGTCATGGCATGGCTTTCTGCCTTCCGCCTTTTGCTGCCTGCTGCTTAGCGTCTTGCGTTCAACTGTCGACTTGCCTATTTGCACCGCGTTTTAATCCGTATATTTCTTGCTGCGGACTCTAGTACTGCCCATACCATGAGAAGTACACTGGTTATAGCAGTTCCTAACTTTGCTATTGTTGTCGTTATCATTGCTCTGATTGTTGCTCCTAGAGGAAGAATCGTTGACACACAACAACAACGATGGATAGGAACCTCACAACGATGGAGAAAGAAAGGGCAGCAACAGGGCACTGATAGAAAAGCCGCGCGGAAGCGACCAACAAAGTTATGGAGCATCCTAGAAAACAACAGAAACACATTAAATAGAATCAAGAAGGACACGCAGACCTTTAAGGACCTTAATGTGTGCGCAGATTTAAACAGCCCGCGGGAGTGTTTGCTTCCGCAAATTTCCTGCAATCCGCAATTGCCGTTAATCTAAAAACATGCATAAGAGGAATAACATTCATAGTATTAACAACAAGAGTAGATAAATACTTACAATGACAGATATCAACAGCAATAACAACAATAACAACAACAAGGCATGCTTCGCAAACGCGGCCGTGGAAGGGTTGTCACTTTTTTTTTTGCCATGTGCCAAAACGCATCAACTTTTGCACATGGACATTTTTTTGAGGTCCAAAAAGAGTGGCATTTTTTGACACTTCTTTATCCTTGCAGACCAAGGCATATGATCCATTTCGTGATTTTCACTGTGGTCTTCGCGCGATTTCCGATGAATTTTTTCTGCCGGCGTAAAAAAGAGAAAACGCTTTGGAATTTGCAGGGCACGTTCGATCAGGAAAATGTGCGTTTGCCCGTTTTTTTTTTCCGCATTTTGATTGGTCGGTTTTCATTTTTGCCCACGACAACGTCGGGCGAACCATTTCGACAAAAAGAAGGTTTGGACTACATCTACTAGGAGCATGAATGAGTCTGCTGGGGCCTGGAGCATGCTACTGCGCAACATCCCGTGGATCTGTCGAGAAACCTACTCTTGCAAAGCATTCTTGAAAGCATAACCCCTGAAGCCTTGAACCCCATAGACTTTCCATACATGTTTCTCAAAGGGCCATGTTCAAATCCGTTTTGGGCAGTGACAATATAATCTAAATTCGCGCCAAGGCCACAGCGAAACGCGCAAAAATGATCATGCACCTTTGTCCTCCAAAATAAGAAAAATGTCAAAAAATGCCTGACTTCTTCAAAAACATGTCGAGCGCAGCATCCATCCCCAAAGCCGCATGCATGTACGGGGCTTTCCAATTGCTGTGGATGCGTACGGTCTTGCCCCCCACCCCACCCCCCAAACATGAAACGTCCAAAAGTGGCGACCCTTCCATTTCTGCATTTGCGTATCCTACCAATAACAACAGCGATAAGAATTATTGCGCTCGTCCCAGTGGAAAGATGTCTTCGATTGGACTTGGCAGTTCCAAGCTGAGGCCCTCATGGAGATGCTTTGCAAGGTGTGGGGCTCTGGGAAGAACGGAGAACAATGGAGAAGCAAATGAACTGTAGTCTAAACTCCTGAAAGGTTGGTTGTATAGGGGATCATATAGGGGACTACTGCAGGGGTTATTAAGGGGTATACCAGGAGTCTAGACTATGGCTTAAATCGTAAATGACATGGACAGTGGAATTGACACACTGTATAGGTATTATCTAGGGGTTTGAAGGATGTGACTTCAACAGGGAGGAATCAAATGAACAATCTAATGGAGCATGAAAGGAGCACTTGCGCTATAGGGTGGTTTACGAGATTAGGATTGGCTCTTTGGCGGGGCTTTGTGTTGCAAGGGTCTTGTTTGTTTGTGTGTGTGTGTGTGACATTTTGCAGCTTCTCCAGAGGCGGCTGCTGTTTCCCATTCCGTGTTATCTGAGTCCACAAATCAAGTGCTAGTTTGCATTAATAGGGGGAATATCCTCATCGTGGGAACCGGGAACCCGCAACCCAAACACAGAACGATCATGACAGCAGCCGACTCCCGTTCTTTGAGGGCAACTGTGGCTTCACTGCACTGATCTCCCCCTAAACCCTAAACCTAAAGCCTTGCCCCTAAACCCTAAACCCCTAAACCCCAAACGCTACACCCTAAAACCTCAGCCCCTAGACCTTAAACCCTAAACCCCTAAGCCCTTAAACCTCTTCCCTTGACCTTGAGACTCGTGAGAGGTGTCTAGGTGCTGGTTGTGGAATCTAAACCCATGGCTTTATTTGAGCTATATACTAAACTCCTTAAAGGGGGTTATAGAAGGGATTATCTGGGATTATTATAGGGGTTATTAAGGGGGATACTAGGAGTTTAGACTATAGCTTATTTAGCTTCAGACAGCTAATGCAGCCCCACCAAAGAACAAACCTTTTGGGGTTTAGGGTTCAGGGTTTCGG